CCTTTAAGATAAACAAGCTCTAATTTTTTTTTTGTGTCATTTTTCTCTCTACAGTATCAGACTACACATGCAAGACGTACAGCGAAGTGCAACTGAGTGAAATGTTTATTTTTTTTTCTCGTTTAATTGAATCATTCCCTATAGGTTTGAACTGAGGTATGCGTACTAACGGTTTTCTCATGCTGTTATCTTTAGTAATGTCAAGCTACACATGCTGAGAATGATCTAATCTACCAGCGGCTTTTTTTTTTTTTTTTTTTTTTTTTTCTGTCTCCCTCCTTTTTGAATACCAAACAAACCAGCCAGATGACTGGGGAGAGTTTGTGGATGAGCTCGGCCGTGTTCTCACGATCCTAAGCCTGGCTGTAACTGACCCAATCCCACAGCTGCCTGGATATTAAATACATCTTCTGGAAACCACAGATTGCCCTTTTCCGTTTTTTGAGTTAATGAGCGGTGAACTTTAAAAAAAACAAAAACAATAACTGCCATAAAGTACCTTGTACCCAGCTTATTAGTTGACAGGAGTGTTTTTTAATATAAAAAGTAATAAGTTGACAGAAACTAAACACAATCATAAAGTCTTGCCAATCTTAAAAACAAAAAAAAAACCCTAAAAAGTGGCATACAATCATTTCAAAGGATACAAATAAGATAAGGAATAAAAGAAGAGAAACACTGAATCATTGTGTGGTCCAGTTGAAGTACAGAATCCGTTTCACATTGTTCTCTGCAAAGCTTTTTCCATTTACCAGTATAGTTTTCCTCGCCGACTTTTTATCTACATACCCTTTATGTTGCACACAAAATCTGCTCCTGACCAAAAAAAGAAAAAAAAAACAAAAGCTCCCTTTTTCAACTCACTGGCCCAACGACACCAAAAAATAATAAAAGTTTCCCTAATTTGGTCATCATGTAGTCAGACTGTCAGCGCCTCCCAGTCAAGTTTTGGTCACTGCAAAACATTTACTGCAGCTGTCCTGTCCGAGACACCCCCTTTGGTTTTTATTTTTTTTTATATATAAAAGAAAAGTAAATGAAAGAAAACACCAGCTTGAGGAGCGTTTTCCTTCAATCTGCCACCGGCTCGATCGCCGCCCGATGGGAGAGAATGCAGGAGAGATATTTGGCCTTATCTGCTATTGCATGGAACACACAACATTGACTTTGTAGTTTATCTTTGGTAGTCACAGAACAAGATAGTAAAACACATCAACTAAAAAAAAAGCCAAATAAAATAGTCATAAAACTAACAATAAATTAAAAGAAGAAGAAGAAGTGGTTGATTGCAGTCTTCAAATTCTCTAAAATTTAATTCCTTTACCATAGTTGGATTTTTTTTGCATCACAAACCCACAACGTGGATTCCACTCGGTTCAACGTCGTGGACTATTGGCTTTTTGGGTGGCATCGAACGTCGAGGTATCCACAGCTCCCTAAAAATGTATGTTTTGGGCCCTTTTACGATGGCTGTCAAATGCTGGAATGTGCAATGTTTAGGTCTTATTGCAGGATCGTTTTTTTCCCCTGATGAAAGGAAAAAAAAAAAAGAGCATTTCATCCGGTGGTGCAATTATTAACACTCAAAACTCAAAAGTAGTCATGCGCGTGATACAAATAAAACGACAGGGAATGCACGTTTATCTTCAAGCACTGGGTGAAATTACAAGCGTGGAAAAAGCAGACGCGTTTGATTAACAATGACAGTTGTGTTCAGGAATCACAATTAGTTGGTCTAAATCATTATCTCGCCGGTGCACACCTGACATTTTCATTTTGCTTTAAAAAAAAAAAAAAAAAAAACCCGGAGCTTGTAAGTGATCAGAAATTCTGTTGCGGCTCAGCATGCTCTGCCGTGAGGGGCTGTTTTAAAGTATAATTTCATAAGGATAAATCATAACCTGCATGATTTCTCTGTCATTCATTCGCATCTTAAATTAAACTTCATTGATGCGTGGAGAGAGCCTTCATTATGAGTAGTGCATTGCCAATGGACTTCATGAGCAGGAGGAGGAGGAGGAGGAGGAGGAGGTGAGGAGGGGAGAGGAGGAGGAGGTGGGCTACACATCAGAGTGGTGACTTTTTTTTTTCTTTTCTTTTCTTTTTTGGAAGATTGTGGAATAAATGACAGAAAAATACTACTTGGTATCTGACATTCTGCTTCTTCGTGCGTCTGTTTTTTTTTTTTGTTTTTTTTTGTTTGTTTTTGTGAAAAGAACAACATGAAAGGAAATCATAAACATTCATCATCAAGTGCTGACCACACAGAATCTCCACAGCATGGGCATGAGGTCTGATCAGTTTGAAGAAATAATAATAATAATAATAAAAAAAAAATAGATGCAACATTAACGACAGCATTGAATGATGGAGAAGACACATTATGTTGATATTTTAGAACATTTCAACCCCCCCTAACAACAAAAAATACACCCAGAGAAATCCCTCCCATCCTTTATGGAAACCAATGAGAAGTGTTGAAGGCAGTGACAATGAACACACACTCTCTCTCTCTCTCACACACACACTGAAACAAACACACGGTGTAAATTAAACGTCAGTCATTCTCTCTCTCTCTCTCTCTCTTCACGTTATGGTCAGATGTGTGTGTCTGAGAGAGGTTGGGGAGGGGAGTGGGGGAGGGAGGGAGGGAGGTAACCCCTCTTGCAGTCCGCTGAGTGCAGTCCGTCCCCGGCTGCACGGCGAGGGTCTCCCAGATGTCGCCGCCGCCGCCGCCGCCACCCCCCCCACGTACCAAACAAGTCCAACACACGAGTAGAAAGGAAGTTTGTGTTCACTTTTTAAGCGTTACTTAAATCAAAAGTAGAAAGAAACCAGGAGGAAAAAAAAAAAAAAAGCACCCTCATGTAGGGCTGTGTTTTTTATGTGTGTGTGTGTTGCTATGTATTGTAATGGCACTAAAAAGTCAACTCGGAGACATTTGAGAGCTGTCATCAGTGGCTGAGACTGCAGTTCAGTGTTTGTTATCTGCGGAGCGTTTCCATCTCCCAGATGACCCAGACTGCCTCGGCCGCTGAGGCTTGGGGAGGGCGAGGGGGGGGGGGGGGGGGGGGGGGGGCGGGGCGGCGCTCGAGCCTTTACAGCATGTCGTCGTGGCCCTGGTCGTCGTCGTAATCTCTGTGGTGATCGAAATCCGGACTGTGATTGGCAGTCGTTACCAGGGAGAGGGGCCCTTCGTGGTCTTCGGGGTCCAGTGGTTCCTCCTTAACGCTGATGTGATGCCTGGAGGAGGAGGAGGAGGAGGAGGAGGAGGAGGAGACCAGAGCACAAGCACAGCTTCAGTTTTTCTGCTATCCTTAACTTTTTCTTTTTTTCTTAACCTTTCACACGCGCGCGCAGGCACAAAGTGATGGCGACCTGCGCTGATTCTGTTTGGAAAGAAGGAAGCAGGGGAACAAAAACAAATGTCTGGCTTCAGTGAGACTCTGAGCGGGAGCCTCACTGGTGCTGATGATAATTTCAGCTTTCTTTTGAGGTATTCCAATCCCGGCAAAGCTGCGGGCTTTTTTATTTTCATGGCAACCGACAACAGGGTATTCACTTAGAATTGATAAATGAGGAAGATTAACAACGTGAGACGAGGAGAGGAGAGAATGGACTCTGCGGAGCGAGTGGGCTGCCGTTGTCAGCCTCCTGGTGGCGGAGGATCAGCGGCGCGCTGTGTGTTCCCCTTCCTGCTCGTTAACATGCACAACCTGCGAGGCGGGTCTCCAGAGGACGACCCCGAGCCGGCTTCTATCATTAATCAACTTCAAGCAAACACAGCGACCAGACACCGCCATACATGCTTTAAACTCCAGAATTAATGCATATTTTCAACCAAGTGTCAATAAGGGAAGAAAAGCGCTGGCAGGAGAGGCGTGCGAGCAGAGCGGCAGCAGCGCACTCGGCACAACACCGTGATAAGAAACAGAGCCCTTATGAGAATAATAACGCTGTCACTTGTAAACAAGGCAAAAACATGAGCCCCCCCAGCTCACAGCCTGGGCAAAAGAGCCACTAAAGAGATGAGATCTGCCAAATTTCTCATTACAGAAACAGAGCAGGAATAAAGCGCAGGGGGGGAGACGAGGCCTGGCTGTGGCAGAGAGGAGAGGAGGAAAAAAAAAAACATTATGAGCAGCTGCAGGGGACTTGCCGCTCTAACCTGCGGTGCCAGGCTGCTGTAGTGGAGGTAGAGCGGTGTCAGGATGAGGCGCCGGGCTCATTTACTACAACAACAAGGGACAACTGGTACATTCTTCATCACCAAAGCCCCCCGTTTGATTTATTCACACCAGGATGTCTTGTGTGATTTGCAACTATTGTGATGGAGGCACTCGTATGCTAATGAGCTGACATATTTTGGTGTAAATTATAAAAAGGGGGAAAAAGTAAAGTCAGCTTTTCTATCATTTTCACATCAAAGTAACTCCACAAGTGCCGTTGCCTCAGGTCTGACTCTGTGGCTGCAGGGCAGACATGAAATTGTTATTATTATGCTATTGAACTGCATGCTGATTCTACACTTTGCTTATAATTAGCCTTCTCTGGATACCTGATTCTCGTCTGGCTGTTTAACAGCAGCGCTCTGGTTTCCTCGCCGTGTTAAAAAGCTGCGTCCTGTCAACCAGCAGCTCACTGGCACATGTGGAAAACACATGTTACACAGCTAACAGGGGTGAGGAACTTGTAGTTGGAACCGTGTGAGACAAAGCATCACAGAAAAACAGGGATGTTTTTGCACATTAGTTCACAGCTTATTCTCTCAGACTTCAGCGATGGAACGCATATTAATTGCTGCGTTACACCACGTTTAATGCCTGATCCATAGGAAATAAAAGGCTGGGTATGTTTTGTTAATAAGAGAATAACGTTCTTTAAAAGCAAAAGAAAACAGATTTAACTCATTTTGTACTTGTATAAAGCTTATAGACATAATTATGGAGAAGGAGATGTGAGCTCTATCAGCCTAAAGATAGAAGCAGAGGGGCAGAGGGAGAAGCAGGCTGCCTTTAGGCCAGCACACCCATCCTGTCTCTGCCTTTCCTGTTCCACAGCCATGCTCAGAGCTATGTTCACAGTGATTAGGGATGGCACTTTCCTCCATTTGGCCAGAAGCTCATTACTGCACCTTTTTTGTTTTCAGGCAGAATTTCCCCCAAGCTCAGACATTTCAGGAGGCCATCCCTGAGTCTACCCGTGCTGCACATCGGTGGTCTGCCCCCACATCTGGAAACGATGCAGCGTGTGCTGTATTATTTTAGGCTTCAAACAACTTAGCAGACACTCCTATACAACAAGTGAATGGGGAGCTGCGGTTTCCAGGCCGACCACAACTTTCCTACATGAGAATCTTGGATGATGTCCTCCAGACTAATTATGCTTTTGTGTTGTTTTTCTTTCAGAGGCTCAGAAGCGTTTCTGAATGTGTTGCAGCTCATGTTGCACCGTGTCGGAGCCAGCAGCTCTGTCACTTGGCGTTCTGGCATTTTGTAAATATTTTAACAAACTGGAATGCTGATTATGGCGGGGCTCAGACAGACAGCAGGACACATAAAGGGGAGTTCATAAACTTGCTGTTAAAATAACAGAGGGGCTCCGGTCTTCTCTTCCCGGCCGGTCTGGTGATGGAAGCTTCGAAAAGGTGGAGTTTCCTTTTCTGCAGGGAGGCCTGCCACAGCACTGGCCATGACCCCACAACCCACTCCAATATCATCCCCTCTCTGCTTTATTTACTGTCCCTCTGGCACCGTGTCTGTCTGATCTAACGCCATGTATTAGGCAATTTTAGAGCATTTTGGGTGGGCACTGAAATTATTCTCTGTCTACATCTATTTGGAGGGTTTCTGTCTCGTGGGAAAAAAGCAGCCAAAATTCTTTTCCTTTCTTCACTTCTCTTACACAAACTGAAGTGGTGATAGAAAGCGTGTGTGCCACTCACATAGCTGGCAGAGGCGAGCGTCCCGGGCTGCTGTCACTGCCGTTGCTGTTTCCATGGTCCATCGCTCCATTCATCTCCTCACGGATAGCGTTGGCCAGGGAGTTGAGGGTGGGACTTCCAATGGAAGCAGTAGTGTATAGAGGTATGTTGTTTTCTGCCATTGAAGCCTGAAAAGCAAAGCCCGAAGCATTAAATGTGAAACGGAAGAGAGTTGTCAGCACTTTCTCAGTTGCCCATCACTCTTTTCATACTGGTACATTCCCCTAAAAACAAAGACTAAGTGACTGGGAGACGGAGAAAGACTTTCTTACTGTCTTCTGAATAAGACGAGATGAAGTCACTTATTTTTTTTACCTGGAAGGCAGCAGAGAGGGTCGGACCATAGCCCAAGCTGGTCTGAATGTTCTTCACTAAGGCTGGACTTCTGCAAACAGAAAAATTCAATTACAACCACAGACTCATGTCTCACCTAGCTTGCATTCCACAGATACAGTATCGTATTTCATAAAAAGAAATCAATGCACTTTGTATAAGAACTAAACAAGTTTACTGGTGTAGTAATGTGGATATTAAGGCTATAGTTCTAAGATGTTCAATCACTTGACAATACCACACAACTATCTTCAACACTTTGCATTTCATGGGAAGGAAGAACAGGTTGATGGAGGCAGATCTTGTGAAAGCATGATGGATGGCGAGCTTAACACAAAAAGCATGATGGCAACACTGAAGAGGGAAGGGGGGGCATGCAGGTGGGGCTGAGGGGGGGGCCACTGGAGTTTGCAGGGCAGGCGGAAGTGCTTACTGTACGAGCAGCTCGTCAAAGTTCTCATCAGCGGCGTATTTCCGAGGGCGGCCTCGCTGTATGTGGCGGCCGCGCTTAAACTCCTCATCATCAACAGTCCAAAAGGACCCAAACTCATCCTCTACTCTCACAAAGCACTTATGCAGGGAAAGGTTGGTGCGAACGGCACCCTGGGAAAGCAAACCAGCAGGAAGCAGCCAGATGCAGATGCAGTGATCGACAGGACAGACAGGGCACGGACAGACAGACAGACAGACAGACAGACACGGGGAAGGAGGGGAGAGGGTGAGGATCAAAATGAAAAAAGCCATTGTGGGTTATGAGGCATCACCAAAAGGCTTCTGAAAGCATGAAGGAGAGGCACGCCAAAGCAAGCAGGGACTTTGGACGTTATGGCACACAGACAATGAGATGGAGCAGCAGCAGCGGCGGCAGGAGCCTCTTCCCATCAGTCAACGGTGAGACAGACGCTAGTCAGCGCTCAAAAAAAGGCCAAACCTACCCACTGATCTTTTGAGGCCGTCTCTTTTGGAACTCTATTTCGTCGACTGTCCACACAGCCCCTTTTACGTTTTCTACTCGCACAAAACACTTGTGAAGACTAAGATTATGCCGGACTGCATTCTGCAGTTGGTGTAGAAACAAAGAGAGAAAGAAAAGGTTTCTATCAGTACAGTAAACATGTCTTCATAGGAGGAGAAAAAAAAAAAAAAAACAGCATTTCAAAGAAGAAATATTTTGACAGGCACCGGATGAAACCTGAATGAAAACAATAAATAAACCAAAAGGTTATTGGCAGTAAATGGTCCTTAAGTTTCAAATGACTTAAACAACACAAATATTTACTGGTTGCCATGGCGATGGTGTTAAAACGGTAACATCCCTTTTTCTTATCATTCAAACGCTGCCTTTTCTGATCGGTCACAACAAATTAAGTGAATGAAATGTAGGAACAGAACATTTTATTCACAATATCTTTACTGACCAGAACATTTTTCATTCATTTTGGCTTTCCCATTACAATGTGAAGGGGGGGAAAAAAAAGGTTACCACAACTTTAAACCCCGGGTTCAATTGAAAATAATTTAGGCATGAAGGCAGACCTACATATATCATCCTTTTGTTATTCCAGGAGCTCTGCTGAGTGCATGTGTATGTACTAAGTGTGTGTGTAGAGACAGGAATTCGGTGTTTATAGCACCAATGTGCCCCTATGGAAGGGCTGTCAGTAAGTGTGGGAGCTGATGGAAGAGCTGGGTGGTGGCGATGTTTGTGTGTGTTGGGTCTTGTGAAGCTGTAAATGATCAGCTTAGAAGTCGCTCTCGGTGCTTTATTGCTGCTAATTCGAATCTTACTTTCTCTGTCTCCAGTTTTTTTGTGTGTTTTTTTGTTTTCTCTGTGTCTGTGTGTGTGTGTGTGTTTGTGGCCTCCTGGAAAACACAGTGTTCCCTTCTGAAGTGAGTGTGAGGGGCTCAGCCAGGAGTCACTGGCAGAGCTCCGCTATGTTAAACTAATGCCACCCACCACCAGAACATCCCCACATATTACAGGGAGATTTTATTTTCTCTTCTCCCTCTTTCTTTTTTTGATTTTTCTATTTTTTTAAAAACAGAAATGCACATATTCCTTTCCTTGGCTGTTCTATGCGATTAATGTTTGTTTAAGGGGTGGTTCATTTGGACTGAATAAGTGGGGGTATTGTTTTGTATTTGGGTAAAGGTTCATTTTTAGGTATTATGCCTGGCTATCATTTTTAATGCTCCCTAACACCAAAACAGTGTTTCCTTATTCTCTGGTGCGGTTTTGAAGACTAAAGGAAAAGCAAAATTACCTTCCATGTTGCTGCGTTGCGCCTAAAATATGCAAACATTCGTGTGAACCAGTTGTAGATTTCGTTTAGTGTTAGCTGCTTTTCTGGAGATTCGAGGATTGCCTGGATGAGGAACAGTGACAGAAACAAACATTTACAATTTTGCTCCCTTCACAAAATGATTAATAATTCACAAGAGGCATGCAGGTTTGTGTGTGTTCTGCTGAGGAAAACACAGACAACAGGAAAGAAACTGTCTACGTACAGTGTACTCCGTTTCCAGAAGTGTAACGCACTTCTTATTCAAAACGACAGATTTGAATATATTTTCTTTTGTGGGTGTAAATGAAGGGCAAGCGAAAACATTTCTCAGGCAGATTACAGGGCAGCAATTATGGACGGCTCAGATTAATTCCTGAGATCCCAGATTACTGTGGTCGAGCGATAATTGACTGGCCATCTTAAAACAGGTTCATCCCTACTGTTGTGTGAAATGAATTTGGTAATAATCACAGCCACCGAAATGCTTAATCAAACCAAATTGTCGTATGTGGCTGTGTTTTCAATCCCGAATGCAGTCATTTGAAGATGCTTTATCTGCCCTGAATATAACAAGAACTGGAGGAAAAAAAAGTTGTTTCTACACAGCTGAATGTATCTGCTGTATTTCCTGAGAATGTCAAAGGTTCCATTCATAAGATCAGAAACATGGTTTGCAAGCATCAAAAGGTTAAAAACAAAGCGTATTTCTTACCTGTCTTATTAGTGAGGCATACGTGAATGGCGGTCTAACATCTGCATTCATGTAAAACTCTTTGTTCTGACTGATATCTGTACACAGGGAGACATAAACTGTGTCAATGTGGAATAAAACAGTAATTTTCAATTAGTGGCTCATGACACAAATTGCAGCTCAATCACATGGCTGTGTGTATATACAGTTAAAATACGTATACATGTGAGGAGTGACAGGCGAGTGTGCAGCTCCGTGTATGTGTTTGTACATGCTACTGAGTGTGCACATTGTACCTGGAGAGATGGGCATGTTGTACTTTTCTGAATAGCGCCGTCGCATAGGGCCCACACTGTGGAGGCTGTTGGCTGTGATGACAGAGTGGGTCTGCGATAGGGGCGTGAGGGGTGCCGTGGGTGTGGTGGGGGTCTGCGGAAGGCTCAGCGGAGGAGACGCCTCGGGGGCCGACTTGGACAATGTGACGTTGGACACTAGGTTGAGCTGCGAAAAGGAAACCAGACCAAACAAACAGAAACACAGACAGACAGAGCTCAGTTAGTCCTCTAATTACCCCTGTGTCTCAGACGCCTCATTGACTATGCATATCTCCTCTCTAATTGCAGGCGGGCCCTTAGATGATCCATGAATGTTCGCTAAATGTTTGGAAAACAACCCTGGAGCCCCGATCCTCCGCTCTACTCCTCCTCCTCCTCTATTTTTCAGGCCCAGCTCTCTGTCCTCCCTCCCTCTCTCTCGCTGCCATGTCAGGCCTGTCCCCAGCTCTCTGTTTCGCCGCCTTTGTTTAATCTTTTGTCCAATTTGGACAACACACCCCCACCTCTTCCACACACTGTGGGTCTCCAGCATGGTAACCGGTGAGGGTTGAGTTGTGAAGGAAGGATGGGCGGCCTGTACAGCTCTGAAAAATGACAGCGAGATTCTCACCTACCGCTGAGCAGCCCTGCTAATAAGGCAGCCAGAGGAAGAAGCCAATCTGGGCTAATTACAAGCTGAAATTGTATTGTGAGGACTCTAATTAGGAGCTGCTTACGGAGGTGATCTGATGATTAACTACTGTATCTGACTGACCTCCATCATCAGGCCATGATGACCATGGTAAAGACGGACCCACGGTATTTCCGCAGACGCTCGTACGTAGAGAATATTTGGTTTCACCACTGAGGTCTGTGTGCATGTTTGGGCTGGATGTGCTAAAGAGAAGGAGGGATTTAAGTAATAATGGCTACAAGGTAAACTAATTACGGCAAGTGCTCCAAAGGTATAGCATGGCTTCCAGCAGCTGTGGCAGCTTCGAGCCAAGTGCCAAGCCTCCATACTGGAGCAGCAGTCAAGTGGAAAATTCTAGCCTGACCCCCTGCTCTAGCTATTAATTGGCAGGAAAACTAATGACACATATACATATTCCCGCAAAATTGTTCTAATTGCTAATTTGCCGAAGGAGGCCAGTTTCCAAATTAAACATGACTTTGGACTGTGAGAAGAGGAAAAAGGAAAAAAAATACAGAAAGCGAAATAAAGAGCTGGAGAAAAGGAGGACAGTGCTGGTAGGAAACATTTCATCTTTGACATCACATGTTGATTACAAGGGATCAATTGTCTGACTTGTGCTGATGATGGCGGTGGGGTGATGATAGCTTTTCACATCTGACTCTACACAAAAACATAGATCCTGTTCAGTCACCCAATTACTAATCACATTATTAACACTCAGTACCTGCAGCTATATTATAGATATCAGAAATCTGAGATTGACGTTCCCTGAATGGTACTGAAATGACATTATTCTTTAGTTTCATTTGAGTTTATTTTACAAATTGTTTTACAGAAAAAAAAAAGACCGTCTCAGATGATTACATTGCAAAGTGCTCTCACCAAAATATGTGACGTTAGTGTTTTCTGAATCTCCCATTTTAACAGACAAGTGTCCGAGTCTTCACAATGTCTATTTTCGTTTCGAATGTTGAACTCTGCCTCTTTGGCAGAGTCTTCCCAAATAATTTGGATTTCTGCAGGGATGCACAAATGCAGACTACGTCCTCAGCAACAGTAGCAGGAGACGTGTTATTCTAAATCATGAACAAAATAAATTACACTTGGGTTTGCGTGTTTCTGACACAATGCTATCAATAGAATGGGGCTGCGGTGTTGACTTCTCTTCCTGTGGATTAGCAGGCTTTGTTTCATGTTTCATCCATATTCCCTGGCCATAAACACAGAGAGGCTTCAACAATAGGCCAGACAGGCTGGTAATAGCCTTGCCTTTGTTTGCCTCACCATTTGGGCTCACTCCAGTGCCTAGACAAAATGAGACTTCAGACTGAAATTAATTAAATGGTAATTGGTGATCTAATTATACTGGCTTTGACTCGGCAAGCTGCTAAAGAAAATAAACAAAAAGTCCCTCCTTAATTATGTATGGCGTAAAAGGTCAGATTTCTGACAAGAATGCTTAGTGACACCGTGTGTATACACCCACCCACACACACAGAGGAAAATACAAACACACACATGCACACACAGAAACACGCATTGCTAATGTGGCACATTTTGTTTTGATCGTCCTCCCCCCCCCGCCCCCATCCACCTCAGAAAATAAAATGAATCCTATTCATTTGACGCTGTGAATGCACCGTATCAGTTTGTTTGTCTTTAATTATAACTAAATGTAAACCAGCAAGTTCATCTGAGCTACTTTGCTGTGACAGTTGGCTACTTATACATGCCTTTTTTATATGCAACAGCACAGAACAGTGGAAAAGCAGAACTAGCAATTACTGGAAGAACACATTCTTTTTCTCTCTCAGAGTGACTCTATTTCCAGTCAGTTCTGAGAATACTTTCATTCTGCATCTTCTTTGCGGCTACCTCTGATGTTGCAATCTCACTAAAGCCTCAGCGGGACCGTGAGCCCTGACCTGTGTAAGTCCACCACTCACCCAGGCGAAGTCAGACATATTTATCATAGCATTTCATAGCAGCTCGCAGCAGGCAAAGCGGCTCCGGAGAATGGAAGTCTATTTATTTGAATACAAATCCCAGCTCGCCCCCTTGAGAGTGTTAACGCTGAGCTCTGACACAGCCATTCTCACGGGCCCCGGGGAGAGAGGAGAGGTAGCGAACTCAAGATGCTATCTGCCGCCCCTACCACTTTTCATATACAAATGTCCCCGTGTCAGAGCCCTCGTTTTGCACTCTAATCTACACAATCGGGAGTGTGTGACACAGGCGCAGCTTTAAAAGACAGCTTATTGTCATTCAACATCTCCAGGCCCTTTATGTTGACTGGCTGCGCTGTGTGGAGCGCACAAGCAGCCTCTGGATGTCAATAGCCATCCCTCTGACTGTAAATAAATGATCCAAGCTGCACAGTGCGCTGAGGGACAGGAGTCCTGCATGTATATTGTGCGTCTGCGTGTGCATGTGTGTGCATGATTTCACATTCACGCCCTGCAGTAAAATGATCTTTGCTCATTTGGCTCCGCGAATGAACTGTCATACAGACTGAAATATGGTGGTGAGGCCCCCTCTTAAACATGACAAAATAGAGCCGACACTTAAATGCCATATGTTAAGCCTTTGCCCCTATAGGATAGGGATTAGTCAGGAGGCTTTATGGCACAGCATACATCCAGAGTGATAAGTATAATGTTTGGAATGTGTCAAGAAGATAATAAATTGATTGTTTAGCATTTAGTCAAAATTTTTCCTTTTTGGAATTAAGGCAATGTGTTCCTTTTCTCATTTTTTTTTTTCCAAATTTAGTAAAACAAAGCTAAACAGTTCCATTGCAAATGCTGGCGCTGACTTTCAAACGCAATTCAAATAGCACTTCAAAAAAAAGAATAATCTCAAGCCAGAAATGCTGTTGAGATTTTTCTCCCCTCCCCTTGAACCAAGATGCCTCTGTTCAGATCATATGTTACTAATTAGTATAATTATTGTAAGGATGGCTGAGGGTGATTCCTGACAACTTTTTAACCCTATAAACGAGGACTGACATATCCTCAGGGAGGTGTCTGTCATCACACTAAATTAATATGAAAATCACAATCAGGTGCGACCAACACCTGTACTTTGAAATGGCACTGCTTTATATCAGCCAGCGTTCTTAGCATCACGTTCAAGATATAAGAGCACTACCATGTATCAGTACATTAATAATTATTTACAGACTCATTCTAAATTAATAAAACTGACACCTTCATTGATTTTTTTTTATTTGTAGAAATATTTTTTTTTATTTTTTTTTTTACATTTTACACATATTAGCATGGCTTTTTTTTGGTTTGTGTTTTATTAAATATTATAATATCATCTGGCAGGAACAACTTAGCCTTAAAAAGCAGCAAGAAAACATTTTGTGTATTTAGAAAATATAATATTATTTCACTTTCCTGTGCTTTCTCATCTTTTCAGGCACCCGGTTCTCTGAGCCTGAGACGGAGGCCATTACACAGTGTGCATTCAGTTCATCACAGACACCAAATTGAATCTCGGATGTCAGCAGATGTGGTCCAAACTATATTTACTGCCTCCCTCAAGAGAACAGCTGTTTTTATTTAGCAGATAAATAAGAAGATGGAGGAAGGGATTAATGAATACATGTGTGCCAATTAAGACAAACAAAAGGATGGGGGGAGGGACAAGAGAGAGAGAGATGTATGACGGGGTTGCTGCTCACCGGCTGTGGGGTGGCTTTGGGCTCCGTGGACTTGACATGAAGGTGCGTCATCATAGCTTGCAGACGCTCTTTGTCTTTCGCTAACTGTAATGAGACAGAAGAAGAAAACAATGCATTTTTTATGAACGCAGAAGAAAATCTATTTTTGTATTTTTATTAATTCCACGCAACCCTTTGTAGTGAAGTCGACCTTTTTCTTTTTCTCCTTTTGGGACCATCTAATTATTTGTTTTCACAATGCTTTTTGGAACCTGTCAAACCTGCACCTCAGACAATCTTAACTACAGTCTCCGAGTCAGTGTTAAAATATACTGTGTCTCATTGCCAATAACAAGCTCAGGCCCTTTCTACCTGTCTAAAACTCAGCGCTGTCTTAACTGCCAGCTTAAATTATGGTGACAGGCTGCATGCAGAGGAAGTCTGCGTCTGATAAACCTTCACTCGATCCCTCTGGATAATACACCACCGGAGCGGAAACAACATGACATTGGCATGGTGCAATGTTTGGGCAACTAAAATCTCATTGTTTAAAGTTAACATCCTGTAAACCACAACTGTTTTATGCTCATTATCAGTCATTTCGGAGGTATTATGTGGCTAATATGTGAACCGCAAGTGAATGCTGCGTATAGTCTGGAATACATTACACTGGATCCATGCTGTGTTTGCTTTGCAACTGTAGCAGAAGCCAATTAGTAAAAAAATACTTGTTTAACGGAATGATTAGTTTTATTCCTGCTAAAATATGAATAAATAACTGCAACCTTAAATTAGCACAGTGGTCATGTTCGCCATTTAACACACCGCAGCCACACAAACACACTCACATATATGACTCACTGGCCATTACAGAGCCCCCATAATGGAATGACAGTGAACCAAGTCTTTTCCATAAGTGCATTCCTAATGTACGCATGCATATTTTTCTTTCTGGCAGAAAAAGGACATTAAAGATTATTCATGAGGGACATGGTATTAAAACTACTGATTACTCTATCAACAGTTTTCTGTACTTTGCTACAATAACCTTTCTGTTCCTTTAACTCACTCAGCGCCGATCCGCACGACGCCGCCGAATCACTTCACCAAGTGTTTTATTGTTGGTGCCAAACAGTTAAAAGTCATAAATAACTTTAAAACCCAGTAAAATTCAAAATGTAATTATCTTCTCTACTTAGCCCCAGGCCCTTCATATATCTTTTCCTGGCTGTCATGCATACATAACACATTTTTAATGACTGGTTACTAGCAAATGTACAAAATTGTTTCATTCTGCACCCCTCGAAACCCCCTCTCCCCTTTCCACGAGTGACCCCATGGCTGATGTGAGACAGACAGGGAGGGGTTCGGCAGACACTGAGGAAGTGTCAGCAGAAGAAGACACATAAATATTTGGATCAAAACAACCGCTGGGACAATACCTGCAGTTCCAGCTGTTGTACGACCTGCATTTGCACTCGACACTGGGCCGTGCTCCTGTCATCCAGGGCGTGCTCATTGTTAAGATGCCTGGAAAACAAAAAGAAAAAAGAGAGAGAACACAGAAAAAAAAAAAAGCTGATGTCAGTTCGGCGTCTGCAGCTTTTTAGAGAAACAAAAGTTCTGAAAATATCTGATGCAATGCGGTAATTAAGTAAAGAGTATAGAGACTATTTGGTGACATTTAAGCAAATACTGAACATAAAACTAACAGCATACTGCAAGCATTACACACACACACAGTCGGCAAAACAAAAAGAAATACTTCTTTTAACATACAAAGAATGACACTCAATATTTCATGACGGTCATGTCTGCTCCAACTACAGCTCACAGATAAGAGGAATGATTGAAGAATTTCAGGTTGGATTCCTTTGCTAAATTATGCACCAGTGCCCTAATGCCATTTCTTCTCACTGCAGCTTTCCTCTGCTTGGTTGCTTTTTTTATGCTCTTTTTGGTGTTTTGATAGTTAATTATATCATTAAAATTAGGAGAATTCAAATAAAGCCGGACCAAAATGTAGAGGACAACAGGACAAGGAGATGGGATCTGTCACAAACTTGAATTATGGATATAATTATGCGTGATTATTTTATACAGGGAAGATTTTCTCTTTTCCTGTACGTTTATAACTAATCTAAATAAGTAGCTCGCCGGGTAGCAGACAGGGTTTTTTCTGTGATTTATATAAAATGGTGGAGATAAGGTTCATGAGTGAAGGAAATATGATTGGGGGAATTTTATCAGCTGCCGCATGAATTACTGTTTGAAAATGCTTATGCAGGGGCATTTCATTAATCATTTAATCATAATCCGAGCAGGATGTTTGAACTGATTTCACAAATACCCTTTCATTTCACTACTTCATTATGCTCGCTAATGGATCCAATATATTATATATATCATAAATTATATCACATCTTCGGTGACCATGTAGGTCACTGTCACCAGGCATGTCTGTGTGTGCACAAAGTGGCGCCGGCAGATGCGGGGAAAAGGTGTGTATGCCTTTTTTCACATTCACTCTTTCTGTCATTTACTGCAAATCAAAAATAGCCAGAGTCAACCGGTGACGGCACAGCAGCAGCAGCAGCAGCAGCACTGGCGTTGTGATAGCCCAATAAATTTGATGCCGTTGCTTTATGTACAGACAACACATTTGTGCATTAAACACCACATTTACACTCAGAAAACAGACATGTGAAAGGAAGGAAAATTGATAGAGCTCTGCTTGAAATATGGATGCTTCTGTTCAGCTGCGGTATTTTCAACCTTGAGGTGAATGATTTAAATCTTTATGGGGAAACGTGGTCTCTTCCCCCCTTCAGGTCTTCCTATTGTGTTTTGATAATACATTTTTCAAAATGACTGTGATATACATTCAGCACTTGAAGTTAATTATTGTGGCAAAAAAGAAATTAAAAAGGCATATTTAAAGAAAGCGTGGGCAATATCCCCCCACCCCTTTGCTGAAATCAATTCAGGCTTCTCTGGGCTTTCCATTTGTTTGAGTCAAATAAATGCCCATTTAATTAAGTAGGTCGGAAAATGAAACTGGTAAACATTTTAGGACATCTTACTAAATTTCAAAGAAGAAAATAATAGGTAAAGACGTTTCAACTCCAATTTAACTGGCACAGACTGAATTTTCAATGAAGGGTGGCCTACGTGAGCAGCTTTGGAATTTCTCTGTTCATAGGAGACATGTGCCCTGCTTCTTTTCATCCTTTGTTACATTCCACTTTATTTCTTCTAATGACATGGAGAGTCACAGTGCATAATTAATAGGAAATGAAATATTCAAATGGCCCTAATGCAGCCTTGAGAGGAGTGTCTGGACACGGGAGCAGGGGATACGGGGAATTGACATCGAGAGAGACTATGAACGTTGGCATGTGTCACTTTCTGGACTTCAAATGAAGCCACTTTTAAAAGCGCTCTGGCAGGATGACAGATCCTGATGTAAATTGCCACAATAAAACAAGTTAAATAGATATTCACACAGTCGCTTTTTTTTTTTACATATCAGTTAGTTTGCCTAATTTTTTTTTTTCTTTACAATTTCTAATTATATAGACCGGAGCCACAGCTTAAGGCTGTCTCTGAGGAAGGTTTATCTTCTCCACTGTTGGGTGGAATTTAAATTAAATGCACACATCTGTACAGCGGTATTTACATTTAAAATGCAATGGAAATTTCAGATTTTTGATGCTTAAAAATATTGGCTACTAATTTTGCACTTAAAGATTCTATTTTTTGCTAATTCTTATAATTCTTATCTTATTTTTTTTTTGTTTTATTTGTATTAATTTAGAAAAGTCTGTGCGGTTTGCAGCGCTACAAGGCCACACAACTAATTAAACAGTCACTACACCGTGTCGAGGTGCAAGAGATGAGTTTCTGTGGTTTGAGCAGACAGACAGTGCAGCACTAGAGGGCACTGCAGTGTTTCATTGGCTCTGACCTCTGACTGGACACTGAAGAGAAGGGTCTTGACCCTCATAAAAACACCAGGCTCTGCTGTGAACCCAACCCCACCCTTCTGTGTGCTGAACCCGAAAACAGGAACAGGGATTTGGTGCTTTGTATTTATCAAGATAGTGCGTGTAGGTATGTAATGTTTTCTTTAAAAGATAAAATAAATACACACACAGTTTAAAACAACATTTCAGCCCTGTGTTAGTTGTTACTGTTGGCATGTGGTGCCGAAATCTGGTTGACGTTAGAGTCCTCCTCACCTTTCTTTCTCTCTGGTACACAGTACACTGTGTTCTGCTGACTACACACTCACAGACACACACACACACACTCACGCCTCGCTTCACTTCCATGTTCAAACTTTGGAGACTTTTGTAAGCGCATTAAGAACGCCTTATGTATTCTTTGTTTTTATTTTTGATTCTTTTCGGAGGCCTGCAGTATCAGTTGCTGGGTTTCATGTGGAAGTGCTTAAGGGTTTGAGAGTTAACACCTTGGTGAGCTGCTCGCACTCTTGCCTGCTGTTAAACAAAGGCAGCTTTGTGGAGACTCTCCCCAAATGTTTTCTTAACATGTTCCAAGCAGTTTGAGCAGGCAACTAAAGTAAACAAGATGTTGCCATGATAAAAACACTTGTAAAAACAGAGCAGAGTGCACTTAGAGACTTTTTAAGGCAGAGCTCTACCGGGCGCACTGAATTTAATTCTCCTCTGTTCTATAAACAAAGGGTGAGGCAATGTCAGAATACAATAAATAGTGATAGATTTAGGCGGGCACTCCCAAAACTGAAATATGTGTGTCTGTGTGCTAAAGTGAGTGTGTGTGGAATATGTGGTTTAATAACTCAGTGTCACCGCATGTTTATTAAATAAAACAAAAACACACAACTGCCTCTTTTCAGTTCCACACAAACTGTACAATTTAGTGTGATAAGCCTTTGAAATACAAACTGGCTCAAAGGGGGTTTATGTAAATGATTAAAAGAGGATACAACATGTTGACAAAGAGAGTCAGAACTTCTAGCAGCCTATGAGGCGGTCTTCTTCACCACCTTTCTCTCCTGCGTCTGTAGGGAAACTGTGTGTTCGCTGAGTGCTTGTTTTAGGATAATGGAATTGTGTCATATCTTGTTTAAAGTGCGACTAATCCGGGGTGACAGTGAGCCATTGATCTGCTGCCACAACGCAGATGTTTTCATCCTCTCCGTAACCATGGCACTGTTATGTGTTGGATTACCTAGAGCGCACTGCACACAGGCTTGATTAGTAAACCAGGGGTCTGACTCAAAACAGGGAATCAGGGAGCAGAGCGATGGCCTATGTCAGGCTGGACAGAGTCAAACCTGCTATAAAGTACGCACTGGAGAGATGCTACACAGCAGGTGATGCTGACTTAGCTGGGCCTTTCTAAGTACTGCACACCGGCTCATTTAAACACAGAGATGAGGTGTGGGCCTTCAATAAATTAAAGCACAGTCACAAAAATAAAGCATTAGACAAAAGGGGGAAAAACAAACAGACTACAAGGTGAAGGATTAAAAAAAAAAAGCTGAGCAAGGCAGTCCAAGACATATACAGCAATCCCCCTGTCCAGTGACAAGGGCAAACATGCAGCGCGCCCTAAGTGTGAGCTGCCACAGATAAACATCCTACCGTTGTTTGTTTGGGAAAAACGGCCCCCGTCACCATGGGAACTGCACTTATCACAGGAATTAGAGGCCCATGCCGTTCCCAGAAGGAGACCCCACCACAGTACCCTTGTCAAGAGACGGCCAACCCAGACTAAGGAATAACAACCAGCTGCACCTGCAGTGCCTCTGAGTCGCTTGAGATCACAAAACGTGTAATCGACCCAACGAGAGGACAAACAGACTGTGACAGACCTCTGACTATGACTTTAACTTACTTGAGGAATGACTGGAAATCATCAAAGACCGCATCACATCCTGGCCACTTGCAAACACCGTGGCCGTAGAGAGGGTGAGTGTGGGGGGAAGGCTCTTCTAGCGTGGATCTGGAAAAGAGATTCGCAAAGAAAGCTATCAGTAAAAACAGATCACAAGTTGTTCTTGGTCACAGGCCTGTGGTCACATAACATGATGAGAGGTCAGAGATGATGGTTTCTCCTGCCAAGCGCCTCCCTGTGTGTGCTGTGTCTTGTTTACCCCAGGAAATGTTGTTTTCTACTTGATCTGTGAACCTTGGGCTTTGTGAAATCAGTGTACCTATGTGATCATTGCTTGCGCTACACTTAAAAGCGGCGACAAATCAATATGTAATTATTTAGTATCACTGAGCCATGTTGCGGTTCACTTTGATCAAGACTGGTGGGGGGGCTTCCCTGAGTCGCTCCTTTTCCTGTGCTGCCTGCTGCATCATGTCCCAGAGCCCACCTGGAGAAGTCTGTGCCACAATATGAAACTCCTACTTTCACACTGTGCGCAAACTGTAAACATCCCCGCCTGGGATCAATTTATCTACTGACCAATCCGTGTCACCAGGGGCTGACAAGCATGCATCTATGGGGAGCGTATGGCTTCATACAATCAGTCTAAATAGCAGGAACATCCCTGAAAAACAAACTTTACAACATCTTCCATATGGCGAGAGGCGTGGAACCAGAGCTAACCACAATCAGTGTTGAGAGAAAGCGGCCCGTGTAGAGGCAGTGTCTGCTAAGAGAGCGAGACAGGCAGCCATATGGACACAGGCACTATACAAGACACACAACTTTCAGCTACAAGAGCCTGGGGGACTGGCCTATATCGCTACCACCTGTGCTTCTGGCGGCTCGTGAGCACAATGCTGCTGCTTCTCCTCCAGTGTGAGCCCTGCTCTCTAAGATAACAGGACGGATAAGGAGATTGCACCACAAACTGTTGGGTTGCCATGTGGGAATAACTTCCAGCCCCAAAAATCTCATTCATACACAGATTCCTTGAGAAATAATGTCTGATTCTACCGCTTCGGGGGGATTTCTTTAGGAGAAAAAAAAAAGAAAAATAAATACCGAAAACAACAATTTGCATTTCCTAGCCAATCATCCATCTGCAACGATTTAAAAATTGATGTAAGAATGAATTAGCAAAAAAGAAACTAATCTAAGCGTGGTGTGCCAATTTTGCAGGATTAAACAAGCTGATGTTCAGATTAAAATCTCATTTGTATCAATGTTAGTAAAGCTGTACCTCAAGTAGGAAAATTTAAAGGTCGTCACAGGTTTCCTTGTGTTATAATTACTTGCTTAAGAGTTCACATTGTTCATAACATGTGATAATTGCATTGCAATTAGGAAGCAGTCAAGCATTCATGAATGTGGTTAGCAGCTTTTTTTCTCCCTCTTTCAAAAGTCAGAATTTTTTTTATTCAATTATGAATTATGCATTCACATTAAGACCTCTGTTTTGATACAGCTAATAAATAGATGGCGGAAGACCTATTATAATGAGTTTTTAACAAGGAAATGTGTGGACGGGTGAAGGTAACGCTGGTTTTTAATTTAAAGAGATCCTTTTTTAATTCTTTGCGAGGAGGCTTGTTGGTTAATTCTGTATTAATAAGATATTGAAATGTGGAGTGCGCTGGGAATCAGTGAGCACAAAGCACTATGAGGGGCTGGCGGCAGAAGAGCCCTTTTAAACGGTGGATGGCTAAACAGTAGTAAATGACAGAATTTACACCAAATGAGCTACATTAGTGTAATAGGAGAAGAGTGTAGTATTCATGGGGTTTTCTCCCATTTGAGAACATGTTCTGAGAAAAAAAAAAAAAAAAGAAAGAAGGAAAACCGATCAGCAGTTCCTCGTGCTGCGTTAAATTTGACTTGCACCCACGACAGGTCTGTCAGGATGTTATTATTGTCAGCCAGCCCGAGGGAAGAACACTCTAATGATCTTGTAACAGCGATGAGGAAAACCATGTCATCAGCTTCCTTTAGAGGAGAAGGAACATTAAAGTGCATATAGACCCGAACAGACAACGTGCGAACCTTCCAGGTGTTGCGCCGTGTTTATGTGCAGACAGACAGGAGCAACTGCACACAAAGATGATTTCGACAGCTGCAAGCCAGTTGTTTTCTAGCTCACTTATTTTGATGAGATGCTTTGGGCCATAAACAAGTCAAGATCTATGGCATCTGGTGCTGATGGACTCAATCTATCAGCAAAAAAAAAAAAAAAAAGGTGGCGAGATTGATGTCCACCATGCTAGGTCAAGTCTGGCCACAGTGTGTGAAGCAAGTCACAACACTCTCCCTCACTGTTGGTACTGATGTTAGCCCGTTCCCTTGTGTCCTCCTCCTCCACCACCTTCCCATCCACACCCGCTACCCTCCCCTCCTTAACTCTCCAGGCTGTACACTGGATCCTTTCCTTCCGTCTTCTCGGTGCCACAGCGTGCTTTACCCTAAATGATTTAATTATCATTTTTTTTCGCATGTAAGACAAATGAAAGGCAAGAGAGGGATGGGAGTGCTGTGCCAAATCTGATTATTTATCTCCTTAACAGATTGCTGTGTTACAGTCCCTGAGCTGTGGTTACTGATGTTGGGAAGTAAAGTGGGCCAAGCGCTTTGCAAGGATGCTCCCCCTTACAAAGCTGATGCAGCACTGTATTGGGAATTTGTGTCAGATACAGATCAGGCACATTTGATTTAAATAAGCGAATCATTGAATAAAGATGACCTGGCTCACAGGGGTATATCTCTATCTATGCATCACAACTCGCGGGCTGGGAAACAACACGGGCTGACATATTGAGTGACTCAGGATCTGGTCATATCAGGGATGTTATTCAGACAAACAGAAATCCCAGCTTGCCCTGGCAGAGTGTTCTTTGAAACAACTAAAAGCAGGAACACGTGCCTCATCTTCGGTGTGTCAAGCCGGCAGTGATTGAATTTCTCCTCCTTCCTTAAGACGGAAGTGCAAAGCCGGTGAGTGATTCCTGTGGATGCACTTAAGGTTTTAGTTGCAGGCGTCGTTGTGCCTGGGCAGATTTTATATGACACATGAAACTAACTACATGGTACTTAGGGCCTGCTGTAAACCAATCTGAAGCCAGTCGGGAAAACAGGCCCATCAGCAGAGAGGCTTGTTTCTGTTGCATGACAAAAGGACTTGCAAAACCGCATCAATTAAAAGTTCATTAAGTTCAGCACTGGGAGGATGAGTGGATGCTCTCTATTTACGCCCAGGCCGGCCCAGCCCATTATCTTCAACCTGATTATTCAAATCCCTGGATTATAACACAGACGTTTTCTCAGAGCCTTGCTTAGAATAATCATACTTAATAATATTTCATTTTTCTTCCCATGGAGTCTGATTAGAATTGAGTCTGCATCATCAAAAGAGAGGAATAATGCTCTTGATAGTTGTGCGATTTAAGTGTACCAAAATTAACAGAAGAAAGGATTATTGCTTGTGTGAATCTAAATTAGCATCATTCAGCGTTTAATAGGGAATGTTTTGTGTTCACTTTGTATCAGTCATCTTCCTTTGTAATTGCGCGTTTGAAACTCTGGGTTAGGTAATGCACTTCCTTGAACAGATGCGGTGGATGAGAATCACCTGCTTGGTTTTCTGACAGATCTAAGATACTGCGAGAATATTCAGACTGAGACTGCCTTCTTCACTTAAGCTTGTGTTAAACTGCTGCTGACATCTTCTTTAATCTCTGACAGTCAGCGCGAGGCAGAGGGGCTGCCAGCTCTTGCGTTATGTCTTCTCCGATGTTTCATGGAGCCCTCAGCTGAGGCTGGTTCTTGCCTTTTCCTGCCATCGATGCTCACCTTGTTTGCTCGCTTGCGACAATGTGTGATGGAGTGAGCGAGTCAATATCCTCCCCCTGCGATTTGTCAGTTAACTACACAAAAACCAGACATTCAGCCAGACGCTGGATGAAGGACTGGGAGCCTGTGGATACTGTCAACTGTGGGAACAACTAACGCCCATTTTTTTAAAAAATTTTCTCCACCGTGCTGGAAGATAACTTTGAAACAGTAAAGAGGATAAGTCTGTACAGGTAGCATGTCATGAATGTATTTAAAACCGATAGTGCTACTTGAAAAGAAATAGCTGCTTTCCATTTTCTATCTCTCCATCAGTGAATCATACCATATCCTCTTGGTGTCACTCAGATCCTCTCTACAACCCCCTGTGTCCCTTCCCACAAGCAGCCCCTCTTCACCTCCAAAAGCCTGCTGGTTTACTGTGCTAAACATGCTTTCATCGGCATTGCTTTCATAATGACGCGTAGGTTTTGATCACTGAAACATAAGTCAGATGTTATGCAGTGAGATCATGGTGCCTGGAGGCTCCTCACTAGCAGTTCAAAGATCAGGCTTTGGTGCAAGAAAACAAGCAAATGTGTAAGATGCCAAATTAATTCCTTCCTTAAAGACACGTACACACACACACATGTACACACACACACACACACACACACACACACATAGCTAAGAGAGCAGATGCCTTTCATAGATGATTCATCCTGGTTTTGAAAATATGATACACCCATGTTTGTTTTTTTTTCCTAGCGTATAATAGCTTGTTGTTCTTGTTAGGGTTTTTTGTTTTTTTTTTTTATTCCGAAACTGACAGCTTGATTGTGCATGTCCACATGTTCCCAGGATAGAAGGAAATGTTTCTCTTTATGAAAAGACACTTGTAATCTGAATGTTCTCAAGGAAGTGCAGCTTAATCACAGCTGCACTTCTCAACGTGCAGCCGCAGAAATGTGGGGTCAATACAATGATACTCTCATTAATAGCACGCTGATGCCATTTCCACTGCATGTGCATTTATCTAAATCCCTGTATTCCTTGCAGGTGTTCCTCTGAAATCCCCAGGTGCATCCAGCCACATGGAAAAAGTAACTGCTGGCCTTCATGAATACTTACAAACTATAAATTAATAGTGATTCGTGCAAATCTACGGGGACATCTCCATCAAATGAGGTCTTGTAAAAAATTCATCATTTCAATAAGAATATAAGGCACATGGGCCTTCAATTTTCTTTACACCGAGACACGGTGAAGACTGCTTAACATCAGCAATCACCAGAAATAAGGCTTTGAAAAGCATGATTGTATAAAGGCATTAGCTGCAATCATTTTAAGCATGTATGTCTCATTGTGAGGAAAAGTAAAAGTTGTAGGACGCATGCAAATAAAATAAAACTTAATCAAAATGTAGCATTTTAGACTCACCCTTCTCTCTTGTGACTCATGTACTGCCCGTTGGTGGAGGCGTGCTGGTTGAGGAGTGGGTTCTTTGGCGGTGCCGGGGAGGACAGGTCAAGGCCCCGGTGGCCGTTGTTGCTGCTATTGTTGTGCTCCTCCTTCACGTGAGCATTTGTCACCTCTTTCCACAGTTGTTGCAGCTCTGCTGGAATCATGCCTGAGACAAACAAATTGGATAATTAAATCAATTAACAGCTAATCCAACTCTCTTCTTCATCACTTAATTAAATCAAAGCGTCTGTAAACAAAGCCGAGTATTAATTAGAAAATATTCCACTACAGGGTAATGCACTGAGAGCTCCCCTCCTCCTCCTCTTCTCTCCGCCACCTCCTTCTCTCCCTCCCATTTTTCCTGTGATCTGAAGCGTGTTTGTATACACAAATCCCTGGCATTCACGCAAATTTCATGCCCAGAGTAAATAATTAACATCCAGACAAGGCATGAAATCTGAATAATCACCATCATTTTCTCCCAACAACAGAGATGTGCAGAACACACACAACAAAAAGTTTACAATAGCAACACTAGAAAACATCCCACCCCTGTCTCCTTGAGAAACAGGACCCTGGGGTAATATTCTCAAAAGCGCATTAATGTGCAAAATACTTAAAGCTCTGCACCGCCTCCAATTGACACAGAAGACTTAAACCTCATTTAACAAGTCAAGCACACTGCAGCTCACATAGCCCTTTGAAAAAAAAAATCCCTTGAAGACAGAAGACATTTTTTCTGTGTGCTGGAAACACATCTACAGAGCGCGTGTGCTTTTTCCGCCTATGAGTGACGGCAATCCCGACACTCAGGGCCAGACTCGGGATGAAGAAGGATAATGCTGTGTTTGTGCACCCCACTTTCCATGTCTCAGAGAAGAGAGCCTTTGTTGGCACACAATATATATATGTGTCCATCTATGGTGTGTCTGTTACCGTGCCGGAGAAGTCTGCTTTCGCTTGACACAAATGAGGATAAAGCTGATATGTAAAATAAGATTAAACCTCACGGGTGAGAATCTGCGGTTATGTGCATTTTTGGTCAAAGCACAGCGCATCTGGCTAAGCCTGATTTTAATAGCACGGAAAGATCTAATAGCAGAATGTGTGTGCATTTGCATTGGGGATTCAAATCTGTGCTTAAATAAGCCACATTTTTAAGCATGGTGAAAGAAGCCCTTGGATATGTGGTGAGTTTAACCACAGAGCAAATGGGCAAGACCACTCGTTTAACATTACAATTAATTAAATCCATTCTCAAAATGAGCACTGGCAAATGAAAGATGATTTGCACATGCTTATCTGCTTGGGTTTATATTCTCCGGATCCCCCCCCCCACTCCCTCCTCCTCCCTGTTTCTCATCACCAGCTCTATAGATACCAGAAGTGCTCCTTTCAAGCACCAGATTGTAATACATTGTGTGCAAAATGCTTAGTCTTAATTTATTCCTGTTGTGGAAAATAACTGTAAGGTGAAGATCTCAATACGATCAGCAAAAATATTTTTAATTTGATAAGCTACTAAAGATTTTAATTATGCTGGTAATGGAGAACATTGGCCTAATGAGGCGGAGGACTCCAGAGAGACGCAGGGGCTAAGAACTGTGAAATGAGTCTGATAGCATTGCTGTAAATTCACACTAGATCGTTTGCATATCAAAGAGCAGGAAATGATTGCAGGACAAATCAATAACCTTTCCACGTTCCAAGGAGCGTCTTTCCTCATTCGAATATTTCAACACACCCCGCTCTATTCTGTCTGCCTGTATTCTCCCTTATTCTCTTCAATGCCTTGATGTGCCCTAATCGAAGTGCACGTCCATGACAGGCTAAACATGCTTAATATTGCGGTCTGTGTTTTAGCATGCTAATCCACTGCTTGTTGATTTCCAGTTGCATTATCAAAGGATCCATTGTTGTTGTGATGGTATAAGGAGACTTTAGAGCAAAAGTTTATTTTTTGTATCATTTTTTTTTTACCCCCGTGATAGCTGGTTTAGAAGGGGAAGGTCACTGGTGATGCGAGTGTCCTGTGCTCCGACAGCGGGAACAATCATTTTCCCCCCACTTGGTGCCCGGTGACAGTGGGCGATGTATTTTTAGCCGATGTGCTTGACAGGGCAGCCCACACTGGCTCAATTACCCAGCAGTCCTGGTGACCCCAACACCACTGTTTACTCAGATGAAACCACAGCGGATAGACTGGCCTGATGAGAGAGGTAACGGAGTGGGACCAACCTGTCTCTTTCTGGATCTACTCTGTAGTTTTATTGCTCTCCGTTCGCCTCTTCCCCCCCCCCTCGGTAGTCCGATCTAACCCTAACCTCTTCAAACTCAACAACAGCTATGGCTCATGATTCCACATAAATGACAATAAAATACCATTACACAAATGTCTCAGCAGGTATTATATTTTGTGTTTGGACAAAATGCATTGAGTTTCTCTCCATCTGATTACTGTGGGACACATAATGACATTGATCTGTAAATCCTTTTTCTTGGGTCCCCAGTTTGTCCATCCTTTAAATGCCGGATTGGTTTATCTTTCCTCTTTCCATTTTTCAACACAACTATTCCACTCATTACGACTGGGAAATACGGACAAGCACTTTAAAAAATGTATGTTGTTGGGACACTTGATTGATCACCGGCCTCCCAACTCAATTTTACCTCTGCAGGTAGCTCTGGCACCGAGACAGGCCGAGCTCTTCAACCTTTTCCTGTCCTTGTCCCCCTGTACCCAGGTGACCATGTTCAAGCAAGCAGAAAGTTGATTTAAGGTTCATAATGACATCAGTTGCAGGCCATCATCCCCCCAAATAAAAAATGGCCCCCAGTGATCCGGGCTCTTTAAACCGCGCTGTTACTTCTCACACGCAGTCCCGGTGCCATGGGGGGACAGTGACATCGCTATTAGTTTATTGTTCCGTCAGACTGGGACCTTTACTGCACCCCTGTTTATGTTGCCGTAATCACTGGCCTGCTGATATGCACCCCTTAGGCCTGAAATATGTCCTGTCCTAATGCTGCAGGAACTATTACCAGTAGCCCACTGCTGGATGTATCAATCACTGACAGGTCAGCCGCATTACCCACTGCTGTCCCTGATGTGCTGCTGTTCTGTGAGCACTTCATGGCTCGCCACATTCTTTGCTTTCATATTACCGACAAATTTGTCTTGTCACTGTCCCACTGGCCTCTCTTAGACAGCTTAAATGATGTTGTGCAGCTATAAGAACTCACTCTCTTGCAGAGCAACCTCGGAGGGTGAGTGTCCATTTCAGCCAGGATGTGCACAAACACTGGCCACCTCTGTGACACAAACACACGCGTGTTGCAAAAACATGCAAACACACACACACACACACACGCAATACCTGAGCGATGTGAGCCCGAGCAACCACTGACTCACTTATCAGGTCAAGAGGACAGGCTTTTTGTGAGGCGGGTGAGGAGGAGGTGGTTGGATCAAATTTATATTTATGAGAGTTATATCCTCCCCAAACACATTGTTGTAATTTATAACAGATACCGTCTGGCCGCTTCCAAGACTTTGAACATTAATGTCAAAAGACTTCACGACAAGAGAAACAAATTATGCTCCAGATAATGTGAGCAGTTGTTTTTCACTCAAAACCCGCTATCTACAAGTTTATACTTAATTAGTGCTATCAATTTTCTGAAAAGCTAATTCAAATGCATTCCTTCAGTCCATCGTTTTGGCAGAACAATGAGTGTAATCTGTCTCAGCCAACAACGTGGCTGAGCAGAAGACTGATATAAAAACTGGAGTGTAAACTTGCATCGTGGCACCCACAACCACACCTGCCTTTCTTTAATTACTCTGTTACAGTGACCTATTACTTGAAAACCTTTTGTTGCTTTCATTGTCTCGGCACATGGGAAAATGGATACAGTGGATTGTGTGTGATAACAGTGGCCTTTTAAAAATAATTATATTAATATCTACATTTCAAAACGAAGGAAATAAAAATCATCAGTTAAAAAGTCATGGCAATTTACTGCCCCCAAGTTTGAATCCATAATCACCAGGACCCAAACAGAGCAGATCAACTCATCACTTCCGATGCAGTGCTAACTGCTAGCTGAATATTGCAGATTAGATCTGAGCACCATAGGCCTGGCCCGCTGATGCATGAAAGAGTTTAGTGATGTGGAAAACAGAAAGGTCATCAATAACTTCAAACAGTCAAGCAGAAAATGTGTAGAATAGGAAGACAAACTGGGGCCCTGAAGCACTAGCCTAAGTGTTGTAACAGCTGTCGGAGATACGGAGTTAAGCATCAGCGGACGGTAAGGGCAAACTAACCAGGTTTGACTGGTTATAATAAACCGAAACAATACAATAATTGCGTGTGAGGACATTTTGTTTCTCACCTTGATGTTTATCCCAACAACACCCTTGATAAATTACATTACTTTGTTAAGGGTAAAAAAATAAAGTTAACATTTGTATTTTATTTTTAAAACAATATAATCACTTGGAATAAAAAGCAAAATTGTCTCTCAGGATTCTTTGAGCATTTTTCAACTAAACTTGGTAATTAATGTTTTGTCATTTTGTTAAACTTCAGGAGAAAAAGCATGTGGTTTGAGACATGCAGACCTCCCTATCAGTGCAAGTAATAACTGTAAAAGCAATTTTAGTCGAATTAACCATGCAGCCCTAACAATGCATAAAAGTGTTACAAAAAAATTGAAAAGGGACTGCAAAAAGGATAAAACTCCGTACACCCACTCTCTTGACAAGATGAGATGCCTCAGAGGTATTTGATGATGACACAGAATAAACAGGATGTTCTGAGCCTGTTGTGAAATCTATCAAAAGTACAGTACCTAGCCATATCACTCATATAATGCTTTACTCAAGGGGTGTGTGAGTGTTTGCCAGACATCTGACACAGAGCAATTCAGCAAAGCACACTCACAACACAGCAGTGCCCCACGCCTGTGCCCATGGCAATCGTCTGCAAGCGGATGAGTGATTCCATACCCAGTCCAAACAATAACAGCACTGTACAAACTGTGTTTGTGTTTGCCTATTACCTAAGCACCCCCCTAAACCCTCCCGTTTTTATCTTGTTATTTCAAAACTGTTTGTCTTAGCTGCGAATGAATAGTCGATGTCATGTTCTAAAACCCTCATGACGACGTCTTTGTCACAAGACGGCCGCTCCTTAGCAAAACATTAAAGAATAAATAAAGAAATAAACTTCTTGGCCAAACAACAAGTATTGACTCCCTATCAAGAAACAGGCGGTTTCACAATGACAAGTTCACTGGCAGTTTACGAACAATAGATCCAGTGTTCCTCCAGGCTGAAGGAGACTGCCACCAGGATGCCAATCACAGACACAGGACAATGAGTTGAAGGGCAAAATGTGGATCCTCATTTCTGAACAGTGGGATATGTTACTTTGGTGGTTTTGGGATGGTATTAAACAAAGTGTAGCGTGCCAAAATCAAAGTGCAATGACAGCAGACTGGCCTGGACTAAATGTGTAAGACATCGTTTAGTAAAATAAACAAGTGTTTTTTGAAGATTTACAGAGGGTGTGTCCTGAGCCAGTGAAGCCATGCGGTCATATATTTGTGACACATTGTTCACTTTGGTAAAGCAAATTTGTACACGTACTGTAGCAGGTGAACAACAGTGGCAGGTCAAACCGCTCTGAGTATACAGTGATACACCTACACAAGCTGCACTATTAAAATAGATTCCTTTAAAAATTATATGTTGTTGTTTGTTTGTTTTTAATTCTACAACACAACAGTGCTGCATTATATTCAGTCAAAGTAATCTCATTAATACTTTAGGTTGTTCTTATACTATGCACTCATGCAGCAAGCAACTTGATTATTTTATAGTCTAACTGTATAGTTTATGCACTAAGATCAATACAGAAAATCCACAAAAACATTTAAATAAAATAAAAACTGCTTTAGCTTTATTAGCAGGTGTCACTGTACCTTTGACAAATTACAATCCTACAACTGAATACTTATTCTGGCTATGTACTTGAATATTTTTTAGTAGAGTTATCGTAGTTTTAAATACACAGTCACAAGCTATGTTTAGGTAACAACTGCTATTATGACTGCCAAGTATTTTCAAACCCAAGACCAAGATCATCCAATGCATCAATAAACAGATGCAATAGGATAAACCTAATCTCCACTGTTTTGTCTCATAAGACATCCCAGAACCCCTTAAATATTTACTCAACAGTGGGCCAAATCTTCCTCTGCAAACACATTTTAGCACTTGCAAATGTATGAGTGAAAAGAGTCAGCTCATGCCCAGACAGTTTTGTTGCCGTGTTTTGTTATGACAAAACGCTTCTATTGAGCAATAGTGTACTGATGCACAAAAGATGTGAAGCGCCGAGGGCTGATGCGAGGTACTGACCCTGAGTGAGGGAGTGCAGCGGCAGGCCGGTCTGTCCGGGCTGGATGGTGAGCAGCCCTTGCCTCTGAAGGTTGAGCAGGTGCTGCTGCTGGACCTGCTGGACCTGCAGGAGCTGCTGCTGGAAGGCCAACTGCTGTGCTGACACCTGCTGCTGGCACGCAAAGACACAAAGATAGAGAGGCACACCATCAGCAAACACACACATGTTGTATATAGAGAGCAGTGAGAACTTGCAAATCTGATTTCTAGGTTTGTACATTAGCAGATTTGAGCACACCGCTTAAGAAAAACATTTCAAGTTCAAGGCCACGGAGTTCATAGTTAGGGCTGTAAAATGTAACACATTAGAACAACATGTTCATTCATAAAAAACAAGGTTAATGGATTTTGCATGTGCGAACACACAACACAGGAGTGTAACTTTCATAAATTTTGCCTTTGCTGTGGGTTAGTCTGGGCCCACTTAAGACAGGTACACTATACATCTCTCTCTCCCTTAATTAACGAGGAGTCGGGAGGCAAATGACAAACAATGAAACAACATAGTTAATCATTCATAATAAGAGCCACAGGAATTTAATTACAGCCATTCATAATTCAGCAAACAACGTGTGACTAAATCAAAGTGCTTAATAACCACCCTAGCAACTCTCACAACTCTCCCAGGCATGGCGCTGAGCTCAGGGATACATTCTTCCCCCAACCAGCGCAGCAAGCTGTGTTCAATCACATGCTGTGGACTGACTGAGAGATAGCTGTTATGTTGATCTCACTGTGCTACGGCTGTTTTATCAAGAAACATTTAATGAAACACCGGTGTGTCTTCAATGATTTTGGGGTCGGGGGGGGGGGAGATTTTGGCTCTGAAAAGTGAAACGTGTGAACTTCGAAGGGCCGAAAAAGTGATAGGAGAGCGCAGAAGAAAATTGAAAGGGGAAAAAAAAGACAGAATAATAAATAGAAGGAAATTATCTAATATCCCCAATCTCCTATGAGTCAAAACAAATCAGAGATTCAGATAACAGGGGCACAGAGAAAGAGAGATGACTTTTAACCCTTTAATCAATCCCTGTTTTCAATAAATACACAGTTAAGTTAAAAAAAAAAAAACACACACACACACACATCTGTTTTCACCAATTAAACAAGATCTATTGGGACACCTTCTATATTTTCTAACAGATAAGGACAAAAGAGGCATTTTTGAGATTCAACAGGATACAAGGTCTGTTTATGAGTACACAAGGCCAGTTGTCAAGCGGGTGGGAGGAGAGGAGGGGGCACTAAAAGCAGTGCCGGGGCTGCCAAGCTGTGCACCGCACCCTTTTACCAAACACAGGATATACCACTTTGTTTACTTCTCACAATTGAGTGCATACAAAAAAGGTCTCAGTGCAACACGGCAGTCAGGTCACTTGCTGGCGGCTCTGAAACCACTGAAACAGCCAGATAAAACGGGTCCCCTCCGCCCACCCCTGTTCGGCTTGTCAAAAGGGTCTAGAAGCCTTCCTTTCCCTTCCTCTACCTCCCCTCCTGCCCCACACCCAGCCTGCTGCTCCTGCACTGGCTGACTAAAAATAAAGCTCTGTGCAGCGCTGGTCTATTAGAGCAAGCGAGGTCGTCTCATTGGATCAATCAGGGGAAGAAGGCACTTTGACAGTGGTAGTGGAGGGTCATAATTGAAGAGTAACCACATTCATTCACCGGCTCATGTGTGATCTAACCCAAAATGAGAGGCGGAAATGTGAGAGAGAGAGAGAGAAAAAGAGACACGATAAGAGATCTTGCAGGGGCTTCAGTGAAATTCAGGATGCAGGTGGCCTGTGATCTTCTCTGATCTGTCCTGTTTATGAAAGATGGTTGCTTCTTTTTTCCTCTTCTATCAGTGTGAGAGAAGTTTCTCATGTCTTTAGTGGCTCTCTGTTCACCAGCTCCTCCCTGACAGCCCGGGATAAAGATAATACTGCTACGGGGGTGGGAGTTCACAAGGAACAATGTCTTTCATCAAAACGCTAAATAAATAGAGGATGGCTTTTCAGAAAGAAAAAAAAAAAAGGGAAAAAGAAAAAAAAAAAAAAAGGAAGAAAGAAAATCGAGTACTGCAAATGAATTTAACTCTCTCCCCTTCACATTTTTTTCTTCTGGTTCCATCAGCTGACAGCAGCTCCTGTGCACTCTCAGCATGCAGACACATTAAAAACCCCAGACCCAATAGACCAAATAAGAGGTTAACAAGAAGTGGCACGAGGGAGAGAAAAATACAGTCCCTGACAAATGATAAAGAGTGGCACTGGCAGGCCTTTATTGTCAAGCTTCAAATATAAAGTTAAAGATCTTTGAAAAACTAAATTTTGATGTCTTTAAAATAAAAGAGGCACAAAGCAGCAACAGGGGGTTATTGTCTGGCAGCCACAGGGGAGTCACTGCATAATTCTTATTCTGTCTTTTGATGGCTGCTAGAAATGCGACTGAAAAAGAGAGAGAGCGATGGGAAGAGAAAGAAAACATCGGCAGAGGGGGAGAGCCTCTCGAGGCTGCATCCATTTCCTGTGATCATACATAATATGCTTCAAAAGTAGTTTTTTCTTTTATTCTCATGCTCCATTCAACTGATCAATTGCACCTCCTTGTCTCCCCCCCACCCCCCTCCTCACCTCCCCCCCCTCTTTTCTCCCTTGCTCCTCTAGTGTTTACATCAGATGCGACTTGGTGACAGGCCCTATCTGAGGCCGAGGAGCTCTGCTGTCATGTTGATTTATGGGAGCATCACGCCACAACTTGTCCAAACTGAAGCCCGCAGTTCATTAATTAGGGAGCTACGACTTTGAAGTTGGAGCTTCGACAAGCACACGAACGGGTGTGAGCGTGAGCATGCGTGGACGGGTGTGTGTCTGCTTTTAACATTGGGCTTAATTCTCTGTGCTTCCTTTACTCTCCAAACATGGAACTCAACGGGGACGAGAGCAAAAAAAAAATTCCCAGATTGTCTTTGAACTTCTTCTGACCGCACAATAATAATTTGCTTTGTCCACAGTGATGCCTGTATCCGCCTGTCATTAACACGCATTAAGCCGCTGCCTATGAGCAAGCCCTGCCGTACTATGGGGAGCGAAGGAGGGAAAGCAAAAAAGAAAAATGGTGAAAAAAAAAAAAAAAAAACTCAACACGGGCAACAAAGCTGGGAGCGCTCTCTGCACTGATATCTCACAATTACATGCCTTCTCTTCCTCTGCCATTTCCATGTTAATTACAGAGAAAAGCCTCTCAGATTTATATGCTCCGTGTTTCTGCCTTTCTCCCTTCTGCCTTTCATTATGTCCTACACAAGGCTCACAGGAACGGTCATCTCTTTGTTGCGCAGGACACTTGTTTACTTGAGAAGAAAAAAAAAAAAATCTAGAACAATGGACTGAGTCTCTGGCTCTGTAAAACATTACACATTTAATGTGAAGACAGGTCCAGAAAAAGAGATGCTGTAGTCTTAGCGCAGTATCAGTCAGTTGCTACCATTTATCCACCAAGTCTGACATGCTAATCAGAAGCATGAGTGCACTTGATTCTCTTCCCCCCCCAACCCACCCACCCCAGTCTCTGCTTTAACCACAGTCTGAAAGCAGATGGAGTTGAGGGAGGGAGCACACATGCCTTCCATGCTCTGTCTGGCCAATGTTTGGTAATGGCAGGCGATTGGAGTGATGTCAGCCTACCTCTTTACTCTGCTTGCTGCCTGCATGTTGCTGCTGTTGCTGCTGCTGCTGTAGGAGCTGGAGGTGGAGCTGTTCCTGCTGCTTTTTGTAGAATTCTTGGAGTTGCTGCTGCAGAAAAGACAGGAAGGCGACATATGAGTCAAAGTCTGTCAGTCACATAAACTCAGCAGTGGGTTTTGTGAGAATTTTCAATACTTTGAGGAATGTAGTCTTTGAGGCTTAGAAAAGTGAGAAGAATAGCAGTTCAAAGTGAATTTATCTTTGTGAAACATAGTCTATGCATAAGAAGATTTTCATTTCAAACTGAGACATTCTCCATTTGAAACGTGATGGCCTCGTCCTGAAAAAAGATTTTCATGACATGACTGCCGTTTGTACATTACCTGCTGTAACATGAGGGCCTGTTGCTGCTGGAGAAGAACCTGGAGCTGCTGAGGGCTCAGGACTTGCTGCTGAAGGATCTGCTGCATCTGCTGTGGAGTTATCACTTGAGGCGTCATCATAGCCACTGACACTGGAACCTGCACAAACACATGACAAGCAGATAGTTGTCAAACAAACATTGTCCACAAGTGCATAAATACATAATAATACTGTGTAAGGTCTTGACCTTAACATGTAAAGAGCCCTGAGAGGACACATGTTATAATTTGGCAAAATATGAATAAAGCTGAATTGATTTGATTGAAAAAAAAAAAAAAAAGCCAGAACAGAATAATGCAGGAAACAAAACACAATCTATTCTTTATTCTATACTCTTGCTTTTTGTTACAAATGAGATAAAACATAATAGAAAATAGAAAAATTAGTTTTAAACAAAATGCTAATGCCATGCAAGAGATGAACGCTGCATAACAAATAGATTAATTAATACAAAATACTTTAAAAAGCCAATTAGTTTTGACTGGATTCTGGGAAATCGTCTTGGAGTCATCATAAGTGTCATCTTGAAGTGTTACAATCTGCACAAGGCCTCCAGCAAACACACAAACAAACACATCTCGACCCCGCTAACCATTATGACACCACAACAGACTGAGAGGGGCTAAAGGACACAAGACAGCCGGGCGCGGATCGTGCCTATAAGTACATGCCCGTGCATCCACCTCAGCTGCCATCCTTCGACCTTCCCCTCTCAAACGCGCAAAACGCCTCGACACCATCCGATAGGATCTGCATCTGCTGCGATGCTTCTCGGAGCTCGCCGTTTGTACAACGTGGCAAATATGTCATACCTGAGGACGTGAAAGATAGCCTCAAAAACGCTGCGGTTCACTCATCGCACACGCACGACATGTCATGTGAGAACATTTCATTAGAGACGCTGTCAACAGCGATCTATTATTGTGAAGATATAGAGTGCCTGGAGGAGGAGCCACGGTGAAGAACACACAGGCCTCTAACTAACTCCCTGTAGAAAGGTGTGAGTGCACGACTCCTCAAAACAAGTGATTTGTTGTGACACTGAAAGAGCCCCCACAGTTGTCAGGGTGCCTTAATTGCTCTGGCGACACAGGGGACTTGGAGTGCGTCTGGATGCTGCCACTCACTGCTATGATGTGCAATACCATTAAAAGCTCCTTTCCTTGACATTTGGATGACAAACAGCAACTAAGATGTGCTTGATACGGCTGCGTCTTTCGCAAATTGTTACCATGTTGTGGTGATGGTTCTGCTGTGTGTGTGCAAGAATACATTAGTATGTATGTGCATAAGTGAGTGTAAAATGTCTCTCAGCCTGATGTCAGAAGCTGATAGAGCAGACATAACTGGTGACAGTCTGTCTTCACCAAGGTTACCCAAATTGTGTGGCTACCTCATAGCTAATGACACCCCTTTGAATTTTTCATGCTTTTCTGAATGTAATTTAGCTGTTTAAAATCTCATCCGGTAACTAAGGGGCTTTTCTTGTCACACACCGTGCATGCATATCACCTTATTCATTCTCCCCATTGTAGCATAAAACAAAAACAAAGCACTGCCATAATGAACAGCCTGTACTGAAAATTCGGAGGAAAGGGCAGCGATGTCAAATAGGACGGACCAGTTTAGATGCTCTCTGTTAACTTTATTGAGCAGTGCCAGACTACACTGGGCTGTGTTCGTCCGGCCCCAAGAGAATGAAGGAGGCTCAGCCCCACCCAGGACTAACACACACTCCACATTTCTCATTTCCAGCACCAGGCAAAGGGGTGCGAGGAGGAAAATGCAATATTAATTCCCCCCTGTATTATGTCTTAATATGCAGTTCATCTTGACTTTTGCACATGACTTGTCCTGTCATTTGCATAGCCCTGGCCTCCCATTTCCTAATTTCACAGTCATTATCCACTGAAGTCCTTTTTTGTGGGCATCACTAATTTTGATGAAATATTTTGAAGGTCAACCAGGCAGCCTCGTCTTGCTGACATGCAAGCACCATACATGATGTGATATACAGTGCATGTCTAAACATGACATTTACCCCCTCCCGTGCGCACACACACACAGGATAAATAATAACGCCTGTTTTTTGAAGCTCTACTTTTACCGCGTGCATTAAAAGTCTACTCCGTATTTGTCATGCTCTATTTTTTTACCAGCGTGGAAAAGCTGTAAATTTAGTCTTATTTTCAAATGTATAATCATTTTGTCATGCCTTATTACACAGCGTGATGTGAAAAAAGAGAGAGCAAACTTAAACTTAACACAGAGGTTTTACACACTTAACCAGATCTCAATAGCTGTCAATTTCATTACAAATTACACCGAGATTTCCTTCACTGTAACTGTCTTAATTCTTTAAACCTGAGGTGTATATCTCATCATGGTTTCACACTTTGCTTTGAGTGTCTGGCTCGCAGTAACTACAGTTAGAGCAGCTTCCTCTGTGCACAGCCCCAGCAAGAGGCTATTACAGACCCCCATTTTATTACCCATTACTACTGAGGTCATTAGCAGCAAGAGGGATTGTATGCTTCTTAACCTATTGATCAATGTAACTACTACCATTTAATCCTGTGCTGAAGGAGTGAAAATCTGCCCAAGACTGGGTCCTATTGAGTGGAAGGGCGGGAGAAGCACTTTAACTGAAAAATATTGCCTTGGCCGCTGTATCATGCCCATTTAACGCAAACACAGGACGCCAGTCGCCATTTAGAGCACTCCCATATGGTGCACTCCCTTATCTCTTGGATAACATCATGACTCCAGATGATCCACAAAAATATATCACCATCTAAAGATAGTCTAAAAGGAGACTCGTACTGGGCTAATAACTGGAGGGATCCACTGAGCCCAGCTCTAATCTACTACACCAATATGAGGGTGTGAAAAAGAGGACATTCTGAGGATGCCAGAAATAGCTGACGTTTATGAATTTCACAAAGGTGTGGTGCTCTCCAGGTGCCTCCCATACATAAACATTCAAACCTGGAACATTCTCACACAGCTGCAGAGTGACTGGAGGCAATATACTGTACCAGCACAGGCCTGCTGGCCAAACACACACACACACTCACAGACAAACACACACACACACACACAAATCTAAACTGTGGCATGTTAACTGCCACAAGTACATACAGGCACATGTGCAGCCCATAACACACTGTATATGAAGAGCAAAACCACGTTTTCCGTATAGAGCATAAAAAGATACCCACACTTTATATTCGGATCAAAGAACAAAAAATTCTGAAATATAAAATCAAACATTATTAATTTTTAACAGGATTAATTGGGAAAAAAAATGTTTTGTGTGTTTTTCCAATTTAAAACAACAACAAAACATTGTTAAAAATATTCCTTTTGTTCTCTGCACCGCCTCTGACCGTGCACCAACATGCAGCACAGAAAGCATTTATCATTAAAGGACACCTACAGTAGGCCAACTTCTCTTTGTGCATTGCTAAGAGAAAAAAAAAAGTGCAAAATATGACAATCTAATGAGGGAACACACACCGCAGATCTGAATATGTTCAAAAGTCACTGATTCAGAGTTAATGAAGATGCTCCCTGCGCACCCCCCTCCTATCACAAGTCAGAGGTCAAAGCCTGGTGAAAAGGAGTAGGGTGAACGAGGCTGTACGATAGCCCCCTTTTTTCCCCGCACCGAGGCAATTAAGAGGAACAGGAAAGAGGGACAAGGGGGTGAATGTCAGTGAGACCGGTAAAGACGTTTCACTGGCCGCAAAGGTGCAGCTCGGCTAAAAGAGAAAAGGGCAGAAAAAAAAAAAAGAGAAGAGAATTATCAAATTTTCATTTGCGCTCCCTGGGGTCATCTTGTTTTGTGGGGGCATCAAATGGAATGGAGAAGTAAAAAGAAATAACAAGCCCTAGAGAAATCACAGAGTCTAGTCCGTTTGATGCTGTTGTTTTACCTTGGCCTGCTGTGGTGAAAGGAAACAACTTCCCATCCTCACTATGATCTCCTGCATGAAAATGTCACCAAAATGAGGATTTCACGGGAGCTATTGTACTTAAGTGATGTGTGAACATAATTAGTCGTCGACAAGACTGGAAAGACTAATTCCATATTACCCATTCAGGTTGATTGAAATCTCTGAGGTGGAGAGCATTTATTTCCCTCTAAAAAAAACAGACAGTGTTTTCACAGTAATAGCTTTTTCCCCCCTAGTAATAATAATGATAATAATATTAATATTATCTAGATGTATAAATTATATGCAATCCTGTGTAATTATATGTTTGAAAACAACACAATGCAGAGTATTCACTAAAACTACAAAATTTAAAAGGCAAGACACAACTACCAAACCATCCATATGTTAAGAGCGCCACAATTCCTTTCTCGTCATCCACAATCAAGCTGTTTTAAAAATATTTACAGCTCAGATAAACAGGATAATCACAGCCACATTTTGTCTCCGATTTGACGTACACTTTATATTCTAGATTTGGGGTGCAGGGGGTGTGAGGGGGGGGACGGGACTCAAATTATTTGCAGCAACTGTAAAAACAAAAGTTAAGATTGCATTTTAATTAACTGGTGGACTACAAACAAACAGGTTTTCGCCGGAGCTCGACCCAGTGTTGGGTTTAAACAAACAAACTGCACGGCGAAGTGAGCGAGCTCTCACCCCAACAATAACAGCTGAGCTGCGACCTGAGCGCTGTTTCCCACACTGGAGGCAGAAACCACTGCAGGTGACCACTGCAGAGGGAAAAGCACACAGGGCATCCTCGCTCTTCTCCCTCAAACACACACACACACTCTCTCACTCACACACACTCTCTCACACACACACACCATCCTCTGCATCATCTAAATTTAATATTTGTATTTCAAAAAATGTATTTGCAATTTTATTCAACCAATATACCAACAACCAGTTATTTGTTAAAAATAAATATTAATGATAATAGTAGATAAAATATGCTGGTGCAGTTATATATTTTAGTTGTGTCTTTTGTTTAAAAAAAGAAAAAAAAAAAAAAGCGACATTACCGTTCTTACAAGACAGTGCCTCGTACATTTTGACGTGTGACTCAATGTCCTCTCACTCTTTTTGACCTTTCA